AATGAGGTCCATAATACAATGTACTTCATGAAAGTAAGGATGTAATGCTTTGAAAAGTGCCTTCATTTAGTGAATAAATGCTAATGATTGATATTGTACCCATATTTATGATTAAGGAATTTAAAACCTTTTTAATTTTCTAATGCACATAACTGAAACTGCTATATCTGACACAAGAGAACACTAGTTTTCCAGTGGTGTGGGGAGTAAAAGTTTCCTCCTGTTCAGAATCTATGAGAGTTATAGTTGTTTCAACCCTGTCCTTGGTCTCTAGGCCAAGATAAATTTTCAAGAATAATTACTCTCTTTTATCCTATACTAGATAGACTGGAGATGAGAGTTAATTTGCCTATTCATTTGTCTTGGCTGGGAGAATGGAAAAGAAAATAATGGTAGTATAAAACTCTCAGAGGATAATCTAAATTACCCTGTTCTATAGCATCAATTCCCATTTTTCTGTTCTAAGTTATCTGTCTCCAAAAGAGCATTTTATTTCTAAAGTAGATTAAATATTTTGACTTACATCCTTTATTATGCTTATGGCCTATAGAATGTTAGATCTAGAAGGTACTATTTAGTTTATCTCCTTTTCTCTTTATTTGTCATGTTTGCACCATGCCCCACCAATTTGATTTGATGCTTGTCAGATGCCAAAGCCCCTACTTTCAGTTTCTAGGATATATATCTTCCAATTTCAATGAGAAAAGTAATTAAATAAGGCATGAATGACCAATTTGGATTGAGGTGTCCTATATACTATATATATAACAACCAGCAGAAGCATTTAAAATACATTTAGAAGAATTGCAACCAAGACAAGATCCAAGGGCACAATTATAGGCTTCAGATAAGCAAAATGAGCATTTTCTAACATTATTTTTGTCTGCTAAGTCCCCTATGATTATGTGATTATTTGCATATTTCTCTTCTATTGGCTTTAATGCTGATGTTGACAAGGAACCACTAAATCTTTGCTCTTACCTACTTATGGGTATTGGACGCAATAATCCTGTTTCTAGGATTAAGACTAGATCTGAGTAAATATAGGGAAAGGGCAGAATATCAGTAAACATATGCTTGGTTATACTATGGAAACAACAACAAAAATAGTAGCAAAACCCTTCAACATCTCAGTGGCTTAATAGAACATAGTAGTCTATTATCCGCATACCACATACATACTTCAAGACAGAAGAAGTCTATCCATTCTAATCCTAAATCAAAGTTGGGTTGATGGATAGTCATTTGGAGTGTTGTTTGTCACTGTGGCAGAAGAGAAGACAAGACAGTTTTGGAGGCTTTAGCATCAAAAATAAATGCTCTGGTGAGTAAGTAATGAAAGAGTGTTTACATGATCATTGGCCTGAACCAGTGACCTCTAAGTTTCAGGGTGGCTGAGCACAGTGAAATGAATCTCCAGGGAACCAGATCCCTGGGATGCTTTTCTTGAGTTGGCATCCCAGGGACTCTTCTCTGAAGAACAGTTGACACCTTTACACCCTTGAGCTTGCCTTGATTGGCATCTTGCTGGTTCCTGAGATGCCCTCAAGGCATCTGTCTTCTTATCCCTGTACAAAGTATTTTATTCCTTTTTAGTGGTGTTATTCTTTTCAGCAACCATATATACTCCAACTTTACACATAGTTTCTTCTAAGCCAAAATTTAACTTTTAAAAATTTCTGCTTTGCTTTTTTGCCCCATATTCTAACTGTAAACCTGATGAAATGCAGCCAGCAGTATCCATGCCACAACCTGAATTTTTGATTGTCTTGAAATTTTCTCCATCAGATTAATTAGTTTGCTGCCCTTAATGTCAATGTCCTATAAAGCCTAAGGACCTGGACAAAATGTAGTCAAATTTTCTCCTATAGTGTAGTACACAGTCTGTAGTCCATGTTCCAATGTTACTGTTGTTCCCCATTGAAATGTCATGAGCCTTGCCTTTACTGTGCGTTTCCATCAGCCTTCTGATCAGAGTTATTCATCAGGCTCTGCTGATGTCATTCTAGGACTTTTCATCTCCAAGTACTTCAAAAATTACTTGAATTTTTTTCTGATAATGAAAACCACAATCACTTCAAAAATTCAGAATGTACATAAAAATGAACACTTTCATGAATATGCATTTTCATTATCTTGCATAATTTTTCATAGACTTCTTGGAATGCTTTAATTTAAATAATTTGGTGATCAAGTCAGTCGAATTTTTGCTTTCCTTCTAATCATCCACTCAGCAATTGGTCTTCAAATTTCTCATTTGTTTCTTGGATTTCACTTGTTCTCCACATGTAGAAGCACATGTGCCTTCTTCTGTATGGAAGATAAAAATGTGTCTTCCTGAAGTCATGCAGTAGAATTCAGCTGTGTAGTTCATCTACTTTGTCTAAGGGAATGCTCTTCATGGTACTCAGGAAATAAAGATACTGTAAGAATATTATGACTTTCAACTACTAACTTTTATGGTGAGTTGGCATTGATAGCTGGTAATAGGGAGACTCATGCATTTATTCCATTTAAAATATATAATTTCAAATTACAAATGTTCTGAACAATACTCATAAATGTTCCACACTGGACAACTGTACATATATTCAAGTTTGTGGAAAATATCCTCTGAGAGAGGTACAATAAAACTTAGTGATCTTTCTTGCCAAAGAGAAAAAGAATGAGTCCCAAGCTACACATTACAGGGCAAAAGATCTCTCCTACAATAGACAGCATGGGAGAGGCACTAAAATAATAAATAAGAAGAGTCAGCTCTTGTCAGATGAATTTCTTTACTTAGTAATTTATGGTTCCTATCTTCCTTTTCAGTCAGTATCAGTGACAAGGTTTCATCTAGTTCATTTACTTACTTCTTTTAGGAGTTATTCATCAGGGTAGTTGCATGAGACTCTCCTATTTTGTAGACTAGATGGAAGTCAGATTCTTTATTTGCATTACTACAAGTGACCCAGTGCTACATGATATTCATAGGTCATGCTTGGTAGCCTTGAACTATTTCTTGTCGTAGTGTTTTTCATTTCTGCAGACATATTTTCACTGTGAATGTTCTTTTTTATTAAAATGTATTATTGTTTAAGTCATCTTAGTAGTGGAGATGAAATCCTAAAAAAAATAAATAATTATAATACTCATTTTGCATTTTTACATTTACTAAGTTAATAATTATGTCCACTCTATGAGGAAAATACTTATAACCCTTATTTTTTTAAAGGGAACTCAAATACAACTTAAATACAAAAGTAAAAACTTAAATACAAATATAAATACAAAGTGAAAAGTTGCTTGCCCAACACCACAACAAAATTAATAGAATTTTCACTACTCACCACATTCTTCTACTCTGAATGTATTGCTGAACAAGACCAGATTAGTGCAAGAAGAGAACTAGTTTTCACTTTTAAATGCAGAGAAAAAATAGATAAACTTATTGTTATTAGCATCAGGTCAGTTTTATTTTTAAATGATGGCCCAGAGAGGTTTCTGACTCCATTTCTCTTTCTCCTCCTCATTCAGTTTTGATTCTCTTATCACAAATGTTACTCACAGCCAACTAGCCAAATGAAAAGTACGGCTTGATTAAGGATCTCTTTTGTCAGTAATTTGTGCCTAATGTTTTTAGCTTTCCCATGGGCTGTTGTAGAAAATGGTAAATCTGGTTTAAATGAAACCTGATCCTGTTAATGGTTTAATAGCAGCTGCCACAGGGTTATGGGAGTTTTCAACAGATGCCTCTGTTTCATTTTATTCTTAAACTGAGTCTTGAGATATTTACGTAAATCATACAAAATATATTCACACACTTTTGGATAAACATATTGGAATAGAGTCTTAGAAAGTCCCTATCTTTGTCCATTTAAAATTATTTACACAAAAACTTAAAAAGAGGGTGCAGCCTCTGATTTTAAAAAAGATTACTGATTCTTTGCATTTTCCTAGATTTTTTAAAAGGCTGAAGAATTGGCTCCATCTCTACATCTGGGCATTGGAATAATGGCTTGGTCAATCTAAGAATTTCTCTTGTCTATACATAGTGTTATTTATTTATCACTGACAAATTGCACATACAGTAATGTGCATTACAGTGTCAACTGAAATAAACAGAGTAGTCACAAAGTTAAGTAGGACTCTTTTTTTCTTCAAGTGACCATTAGGATTAGTTTTTCTGGAGTATAGAAGTGAGTTCATTTACTTTTCATAAGGCACTTATTCATGCAAAGCACTTTGGCTGAACAGATTGATGCAAACATGAATGATAAGTCTGTAAGTGACTGTAATGAATACAGAAATAGTTGTAGTCTTTTTTTTTTCTGTTAAGTTGTAATATGTGAGACATTATAATTTAAAAACAAGAGAAGTTAACTGGTTCTGGATGCTGAGAAGTTAAAGAACATGACACTGGCATCTGGTGCTGGCCTTCCTGCTATGTCCTAACATGGTGGAGAGCATCACATAGCAGGACAGAGCATATGTGCTGGCTGTATTCTTTCTTCTGCTTCCTATAAAGTCACCCCACTACTGCCATCCTGGGGACCTTCCCCGATGACCTCACCCAATTCTAATTACTTTCCAAAGGCTTTTCCTCCTATACCATTAATATATGAATTCCAGGTTTGAGTTTCCAGCACATGAACTATGGAGGAGAAACATTCAAACATTTATAGCAACAATAGATGTATCAGCTCAGACAAAGGACTGAAAACGCAGAAGGCCATGTTAACAAACATATTATATCCTTGATATCTAAGGCTCATAGAGTGTAGAATCTTGAAGTGTCAGGAATAAATTTGTCTTATTTGAGTCACTGCGGCTGGAAGTCTTATTTAAGTATCTGGAGCTAGAAGGGTTATTTATGTAAATTCACACAATGGTGAGTTTTCAAGGGCCAACAACAGAGAGCAGAAAAACTTTCTAAATTGTCTATAGGCATCACCTAATACAGTGTGTTTCTAAAAGTACAAGTACCCCAATATTCCCTTGTCTTAATATCTCTCTAGGGATTCCCTCAAAGGAAAGATGTGAAACCTGGCATGGCTTTCCTCTTTGAACTGTTTCTCCTTCGTGGGACGTGTGCTTGCCTTGACCAGGCTGTGGGCTGGGCAGTCTTTCCTGTGTGTGATAACAACTTTGATATTGTGGAGGGAAAATTCAAAAGTCCCATTCTCCGAGGACATTATGAAAAGAAACTTAGCAGTTTCAGGAAAATTGAAGATTTGATTTGCTTGGACTTGGACCACTGGCTGTGCAATCTCTATTTTCAGGTTTGTAATATGTTTTTGTAAGTGGAAAAGATTATAAATTTTTTTCCACAGCTGCTTCTTTCTAGCCTTCAACTTCCATGCAACTGAAATTTTGGATAAGTTTCACAAAATGGCAAGAGTAATTACATCTTAGTGCTGGTTTCTGATAATGTAGGTTAAATTTATGCATAGAAGTAAGGAAAAAAATTCTAGAGTTAATAGTTAAATTAAAGATAATACAGTTTTCTGGGTTGTAGATGGGCTAGAACTGCCACCTCCGGCCCCTAGTTCAGAGCTCACGATCTATTTCTCCAGTCTGTAATCTGCAAATTCATCTCGGCCTGGTATTGATAGTACCAAAGTTGCTTACCAACTGCTGTTGTTTCTTGGGCACTTCCTGCTCCAGTATATAGAAGAGCTAAGACCTCTACCCTCTGGACTCTCGCCATCTCTCTGAGGAGACAGACATAGGTTCACAAAACAATAACCCATGACCCACATTTCCACAGGACTTGAGGAGCATCACAAAGCACCCTCCCTCGGCCTTGCCACATCAAAGTGTGCTTGCTTTTGGTCTACCTCAGGTCTTTAAAGCACACTAAGTTGGGCCTACTCCATTTATTTGTATATATTTGGCATTCTATCTTCTCATCAATCTTTTAACAGAAATGATTTCACCTAAATTCCTTCTAAGCAAACACCATTGAGGATCCAGAAAAGAAAATGGCAGTATATGTACAGTATGAAACACTCAAACACATTTGGAGTTTGATTTTATTCTGTATGTTCAAAGGTGTTCCTGGTTTATTTTTTCATGTTGCCTTTATCATAAAATACCATGAATCGTTCTTTCTTGCTTACACATTTTATTTTTTATCCATCCATCCATTCAGCCATCTATCTTAAATTTAAAAATTAAGGCATAAAAGAAAGTAAATTTTAGTATAATGAATATGAAATACATAACTTTTAGCTAACCCTTTCACTAATTGTTACTTAAAATTCAGTACTTTATAAGATATGGCGAAATAAATACTTTGTTTTATAAAAGACAATGCATGCAATCCTGGTACTAATCATAAAGCCTTTTTATATTTAAAATCAAATCAAGAAGCGAGGATTAACATTTACAAGATAAAATTGTTCTTTGTGAAACAGCATTAGAATTTGATTCGATCAAAATCTACTTGAATTTGAAGACTAAAATTTTCCTTTTTCTTCTGATTTATTTAAAAATAATCTTTGTGGAAAAAAAACACCTAATGTTATGAATTATCTGAAGGGCTTGGCAGTCCTTTGCCATTCCAGATGGACGTAATTGCCCATTAACATTCTTGATAGACACTATTAGTACTTTTGTCCTTCTGTATATTTTATGAGGGAGGAAGGGAGTCTTATTAATAAAATAATAGCATTATGCAAAATATGGTTTCCTTAAGGGCTGGGTGTGTAGCTCATTGGTACATTGTTTTCTAAGAGTGAAGTCCTGGGTTCAGTCTTCAACATCACAAACTAAAAATAAAGTTATAAGATGCATGATTTTCCTATTATACAAAGACACAGTAAGTAGTAATGTAGATGCTTTCTTTCATGAGGATGAAAATAAAAAAAATTTTACCTGAAAACTTCATTTTCTTTTATGGAAAATTCTAACATATGTAGATTTTCCCAATGTGACTTTTCTCAAATGAAAAAATTTCTGATCAAGTAAATGCTGCGTTGCGCACAAAAGTACAGTGCAGACTTAGAGAAAAATAGGGCAGAGCAGATGATGGAATGGAAAAAGTGGGAGAGATGAAAGGAAACAAGGCAACCCAAGTAAATTCTGATTATGGGTCTGTCCCTTGGAGGAAGCTTCCATTGTCAAAGAGGTAGTGGCAGAGCCAGGACACCTTGCTTCACTGTGGTCTCTCGTGTGTCGTCAGGGACCAAACCCAGGCCAACTACCCTGAGCATGAGGAGGTGGCTGGCAAGCAACTCATAGGCTGCTCCGAGGGCACAGGTGTAAGGATTTAAGAGGGAAAATTAAGCAAGCAACTTTCCCAGGAATCTTTCCCTTTCACTCCCCCACTTTACTGAGTGTTTTGTTCCTTGTGCCATTCATTGTCCTCCCTGAACCAGTTTATTGCTAAAATTTTAACTAAGGTAAAGTGGAAAAAGGGCACAGTAGGCACCCATTTACTCACCACTAGATACTACAATCTTGGTATTTCTTTTTGGACTTAAAAATATTACTTGTTGGAGATACTAAATACTGCATGAATATGTACTAACCTCATCCCAGTATAAATGTTGCCCAAATAATGTTACTAAGACAAAAATGAAAACAAAACTCCTCATATAGAGCACCTAGCAAAAATTGGAGGAAATATATAAATTAATTAATAAAAAGAAATTTTATTAATTCTTTCTAACATAACCAAACAGAAACTTATAAAGTCTGAAATACTGAAATTATTATTTACTCTTTAGATTTATCAAATTGTCATACTGTTCCTGAGAAAAGCTAACAATACATGTCATATTTTCACAAATTTCAGTAACTCATTTATCTCTTAACAGGTAATCAAACTTCCTTTGCATTTCGATGATCAAAAAGTACATGAAAACTGTACTCGGCTCTCCCCTGAATTTTCCGTCTGTTTAGTGGCTGAAGCAGAGAAAGCAAAATTAAATACGGACAACCCAGCCGGCCTCTCAGGGAAAACAACCCAGGAAAAGATTCCTGTGTCAACGGAGCATGGAGCTGAATCTGCCTTACACTCTTCTCATGGTTAGTTCACATTCGACTGCTGGTATTTCAAATTGTACTTATATATTAAATAAAACTAAGAAATATTAATTGTTTTACTAATAGACCATCTATACCGAGCCATTACAAGGAATGTGACTGTTAATAAGATAATTAGTTTTCACGTCACACCATTACATAAGTAAATATAAAAATATTTTATCGAAACATAAGCTTCTCCATAGCCTATTGCTCTAGAATACTTTTAGGTGATTTTTGTTTTTGTGGGGAGGGGGTAATTTTATACTTTTAGTTCTTATTTCTAAATCTTAATCTTTCTTGTATGTTCTTGGCAGTGGTAACCAAAAAATGAACTCGAGAGATAAACTATTCTGAGAAAAAGTTGCCCATTGAGTATATTTTATAGACCTTTGTTTTTTAATGATTGGCTTTATTAAGCACTAAGAAGCAAATAGAGTTTTACTCTTTTTGTTGTTGTTGCTTAGGTACTAAGGATCAAACTTGGGCCCTTGCACTTGCAAGGCAGGTGGTGGAACCAGTGAGCCAAATCCCCAGCCCAAAATACAGTTTTGAAACACTCAATTTACAAAAGTTTTAATTTAAAGAAGAGTTACATTAGCAAGTATTTATGTTTTTTTTTTTTTTTTTTTTTTTTTTTTTTTTTTTTTTTTTTTTGGTGCCGGGAATTGAACTCAGGTCCTTGCGCTTGCAAGGCAGGCTACCGAAGCACTGAGCTAAATCCCTGGCCCTGCAAGTATTATCTTTCGTACTAAATAATTATTTCCCTTAGAAAATGATTCACCAGTTTGTTTAATAGGGTGAATACCTTATTGGTACATTACAGAATTAGCCATAGTAGGGGGCACAGTGGCAGTTATTGCAGTAATAGCCATAACAGCATTATGCCTGCACTGGGAATATTACTAGTGACGAGCCCTGTAGTAAGCACTTTATTTATTTTTTGAAATTGCCAAATATTTTAATTGTATTTATGGAAAATAACATAACTTGCACAGTGCTCAGTCACTGCTTTGCCATACCTGCTTCATTATGTTTTCTGTTAAAGATTTGCATTTTATATGTAATGAAAGCCTTCTGTGACCCTCTCCCTGATTCCATTCCCGACTCTGACTCTCTATTGATCTTTTCCATTTATATTTTATTTGAAAATTCATCTTAGTTCAAGTGTGTGTGTGTGTGTGTGTGTGTGTGAAAGTAGGGATTGATCCCCAGGGCCTCACACATGCAAAGCTGAGCCATGCTCCTGGCCCTCTATGTATATTTTAAAACATTTTCTTCATATATATGTAATCATAAGCAATGCATAATATCATTAATGTTTTAAAGTTTATGTAAATATATTCTACTTCAATCCACTTTTGCAACTTTTATTTTCCGTCAACATTGTCTTTGATATTATCTTTCTCTTTACCTATTTCTAGCTTGTTTATGTTGTTGTTTTATAGAATATTTTGTGTAATATCATATGGTTGATTTGTTCTTACCATGTATGTTGCCCTAGCTATATTCTATTTTAAGCCAGACTGCCATGATTCTTTACCTCTTTATCCTTCCTGGGGTTGGAACCGGGAAGCCCTGGCAGCCTAAGCATTTGCTGTGCCTCTGAGCTGCACCTTTGGCCTCGTGTTGGCTGTTCCTGCCCCTCCCTTCCCTGTGCAGAATGTGAGATTTCACCGGACTGATAGTGCCCGGGATAGGAACCCCTGGACCATGTAACTTTGGAAACTGATAGCACAGTGGCACTTTGCTAACCCTGTGCTGAGAGCTGTGTGGGAATTGTCGCCTAGAACCACACCCAGCAATGCTTTTTATTGTCAGGCTTTTAACATTTGCCAATGCAGTTTGAAGAAATGGTATCTGCATTTCAATTAGAATTTTCCTAAATAAGTAAATTTGAGTATTTTTTCACAGTATATTTTTGTTAATCATTGGGTTTTATCTTCTGTGAGGGCCCGTTTCTCTACTTCGTTCAATTTTTCGAGTCAATTTTTTTGTCATTGATCTGTAAGAATTCTGGTGTCTTTTTCTTAAGGTGAAATGAATCATGGGCAACACTTATTTTCAGATTCAATGTTTGATTGTTATCTGAATGTTTTATTATTAATTTTTCAATTTTAATTTACTTTTTTAGAAATTTATTAACTTGGTCACAGTATCATATTATCTTTTCAATTTCAAATTTTATTTACTTCTGTTAAAAATTTTATTGAACAGGCAATACACTCATATTATTCAAAATAAAATTTGCCTCCTGCCCTTAGTATTCACTTTCCTTATTTTTCCTGGAGAAATCATTGTCTTTTGTATATTTTTCAGTAGATGTATTATGCATCTCTAATACACAAAAATATTATTATAATTTTGAAGTGCCACCATAATTTAATTATATTCCCTTTTTTATTTTAATACAAGTTAATTCTTGTCTTGTTTACTTTTCTGTTTTAGTTGGGCTTGAATTTTGCTTTTTCTTACGTTCTTTAAATATGCAGTTGTTACAATTGCCTTATTGAATCTATCTTCTGATTTTTTTTTTTGCTTTGTTTTTGTGTAGCTCTTCTCTTAAATTTTTAATTTCTTACTGCTGTTTTCTTCAGATTTTATCAAGTGTTAAAATTTTAATTAATTTAAAATCTGTTATATGCATATGTATATATGATTGTTATATTTTTGAGAATTTAAAAATATTGATATAGTCTATTGATCAAAACTTTTGAATTTATATTCCATTTCTTCCACTATTAGTACTATTACCTGAGTTATTGTTTTAATAAGTCTTCATACATTGTATGGTTTGGGTAAACAATAGTTAGTAGCATAACTAAATTTTTAAAATTTAAGACAAGTAGATAATATGTTTTTTAATAGGTGTGTTAATCAACTTTTCATTACTGCAACTAATTCCTGAGACAATAAACTCAGAACTGTCTTATTTTGATTCAATATAGAAGGTTTCAACCTGCGATCCATTGACCTGTTACATTGGCCCTATGGTGGCCATTCATGGCAGAAGTGGGTAGAGGTCTAAAATAGCTCACTTCATGGCTAGAAAATGAAAAGAGAGAGAGAGGGGAAGGAATCCCATAATCTCAAGAGGAGGCCTCTAGTAGCTTAAATCCTCTCATTAGATTCCACTTTCTAAAGTTTCCACTGTCTCCCAAGAGCACTATGCTGATGACCAAGCCTTAACACATGGACCTTTGGAAAATATTTAAAATTCAAACTACACCTTACCTTTAAGGTTTTTTTTATTCTTTGTACTACTGTATTTGTGATCATTAATGACATCTTCTTTGCCACCTTATTTCTTTGCTGCTTAAAAATTCTACTTTGAATTTTTCTTCAACCGAAAATAACTTTATTTTTGTTTAACATTTGGTGTTTATAATCTATGGATTCCATTGAATACTTCAGAGGTCATCCTTTATTTTCTTATCTACATATTTAACTGCACATTATCTTAAAAGAATCAAAGCTTGCTCCATATTCTATTCTCTTCCTTGATGTGACAAGGACTTTTGAAGTACTTTGCACAATGAATGCCCTCTCCTACATTCACTGTTGTTGGCTTTGGTTTCATGTTTTTAGTAAACATAAACTATAAGGACCGGGGATTTAGCTCAGTGGATCTGCTTCCTGCCTTTCAAGCACAAGGTCCTGAGTTTGATTCCCCATACCAAAAAAAAAAAAAAAAGTTTAAGAGGTATTCTTTTTATTCTTAATAGAAGATTAATTCATTGACAGATTCAACCAATATCTGTGCTTTGTAATATTTGAATTGTAGCATGTCTTCATTTTGGTTTCATTTTTCTTGCTGAAGTAAATCTTTAGCAGTTCATTTAGAGTTTGGATCTTTCTGAGCTCTTGTATGTCAGAAAGAATTTTGATATTTCACCCACACTTTAATAGGTCATTAATCCATGTATAAAATTCTAAGGTAGGAATAATTTTTCCTGACTCTTCTCTGCATTTTTTTGGTATCTAATGTGGCTGATCAGAAATCAGTATGAAATGGGCAGTCACTGGAGGATCTCAAAAAAGAGTGACATATTTCAATTTCTATTTTCTACCAGATAATTTTTCAGGAGGGCTTATTTGGAAGAGAATGTCTAGAAATAGTTTAGTTAGGAAAAGTTTAGAGTAGTGTAAGCAACAGAAGAGGGACTCCATTAGGGTAGAAGTAGCAGTGAAGCTGGAGAAAAACTTGTAAATTTATAGAGTATTGAAGAGTTGCAATAGAGTGAATATGAACATAAACTAGCTCTGTTGGTTGATTGGCTTTGGGTGGTGAAGGTTAAAACAGTATGATTCCTAAATTTTGGATGTGGGTAGATGTAACTATCACCCTGTTTGATTTTGTTCCTTTTGGGTATGAGGTTTCTGTTCTATATGCATCTAAATGGAAATACCCAGGAGAGTGCTGAGCAAATGGACACGAAGTTCCAAAAGATGAAGAAGGGGAGGAAGGAGAATACATTCACGAAGCAGCAGGGACCTGGGGATTCCAGCTGAAACCACTAAGCAGTGGAGTGCAACCTGGGAAGATGTTCAGAATACTGAGAGTGCTGCATTGAGAGCACAGGAGAAGGGTGCTGGATCCTGCCACTTTGGTCCGATCCAAGGCCTACACTACTCCACTAAACTTCTGCCTTCCTGTTTTGTTCCATTAAGTGGAAACACATCACTTCATAGAGAGTGATGAACTTAAAGCTTAAAGGATGACTGGAGTTTTTTAGTTACTGTGGATATTGTACCTTGTTGGGCCAAGTAAAACTCTACTGACTGCCAGTTTCAACTCCTAGGATCCCCACGTCCCCAGAAGGTAGATTCATTATAAGTCCTGGGCTTCCTTATCTACTTGATCTGCTTCCTTGTGGCTATGCCAAGATTACCACTTAGCAACTACTGACATACTACCCCTTCCAAACAATGGTGTATCATTTTAAGATGAATGCGTACTTGGAAATAGTATGTTGAAATTTTATGCACAGAATACATAAATA